GTACCGGACCGGGACCGGCAACGGGATCGCAACCCTCAGTGCTGCACCCGCCCCTCGCTCAGCCAGTGAGCGGGAACCGGTCTGTATGTGGGATCCGAACCCTCAGCGGGAGCGCCGCCGCACTCCCAAGCGGCGCACTGTAGCAGTGCGCCACCGGGGCGGCCCTGAACCTATCATTTCTTAACCTGGAGACACAAGGGCTGGCAGCAGTCACTCGGCACGGGCACATTTCCAGAACCAAAAACCAGAAGGGGAGGTTGAAATCTCAGGTGCACCATTTGTGTTCCTTCCTTCTGGCATCCTAAACAGGAAGAGTGGCGGGGAGTAGAAGCAGAGGAGAGTAACTCAGGAGCTGATCACAGAAATGCTCACCACATGTAATCCAGCAGGGCAGAAGGATGAAGCCAGCACACTCCTGCTACAGTGACAACTAGTGGGAATGGGGAAAAGCAAAGGTCCCATCTCCAGATGGGACCCAGCCACTCCCAGGGCAGAGGATTCAACAGCATCCATGGAAGGCACTCAGAGACAACACATCCCAAGGAGGCTTTGCATCTGTCCTTATTCCTCCACACCCAGACAGCAGAATGAAAACCAAAAACGGCCTCCACCATTACAACCTACCAATAGCTAGCCTTACAGTTCAAGCGCCAAGGTCATCATCCAAACACTTCACACTTTAAAAAGGAGGATTTACCCAGACTCTTCTTGGGCAGATAGAACTGTTCCCATGCAAAGAGAAACAATAAGCAGGAAAGGCCGTCATGATACCTGTGCAACAATATAAACAGAAAACAATACAAGAAAAGGAATGAAAGAAGCAAAAGACAAATAAATACAACCCAGAAAAAGAATGACTTTAGAAACCACAAAAATTGTAGACAAATGGTTCAGTCCTCAAAGAAATGAAATAAGGAATCCAAGAGGACAACATAATGAACTAAGGAAAGAAACAGATAAAAAATAAAACTAACAGAAGTGAAAGCCACATCACAAGCGACAAGACCTAGAATCAACAGCACAGAAAACTGGGTGAGCGAAATGGAGGATAAAACTTGAGGAAAAAAAAAAAAAAAGAGTCACAGAGCGTGAAGAAAGACAGAATGAAAGTCACCAAAGTAAAGATAAATGTGAAGGACAGAGAGCAGAGAGCCAATACAGAACATGTTCTTGAAGAAGAGAACAGAATAAACCGATGCGAAATGCAGTGAAACGTCAATACGTAATGCTCGCATGTACCAGATAAAGCCAACAGACAACAGTCAATCCTGAGATATACTTGAATGAAGAATAAACTAAGAATAAACTAAGCATCACAAGTATCCAGGGCAAACAAGCAGATCATCTACAAAACAGGGGGTGGGAACCCATCTGGATTCAGATCTCTCAGCACCCCCAGATATAAACAAGAAAGTAACGATGATCAAGTAACTTCTCCAAAGAATCGAAAGAGAAAGGATATGATCCAAGAATCTGATGGCCAGCCAAGTTACTGTTCCTAAGTAACAGCAACAGAAATACATTTGTAAATACGTGAGAAAATCTAACCAAAGCTGGAATCCAGTCCATCAAAAGATAAAAGCATCAACTTTCAAATGTGGAGTTTTTGTGTGAAAGGGCTGGCAGTGAGCACTGAATTCTTTCAAACACAGAATGAAGCCTAAATAACTCGAGCACTTACCTAACGCTATACACTTTAAATTGCCTATCTTTCTACGTAAAAGCTACCAAATCCATTTGATTATCTCCTCTAACTATGCCAAAATGGAAACACACGAAAGAAAATCTTTCCTGAATGGAATTGCCTTGCACTACAGAAAATTTTTGGTTTAGAGCTTACCCTTGAGAAATTCCTCAAAAGAGATAACACTATCTGGTATATTGTTCAAAGTACTAGCCTAGGGATGAGAAGACCCATCTACTCACTTTGGGTCTTCCATCCACTTATCATGCCACCTTGGCAAACCACTTAACTGCTTTGGGATTCATATGAAAAACAGAAATACACCTTGCGTGGTCCACCTCATGGCACTGTAAGGATCAAATTGGATGCTGTATGCGAAAGTTCTTTGGAATCTATAAGTAAGTGAGGCTGTGAACCCATGTCAAAGCTTGGATGAAAAGAACCCCTGTACTAAGAAGCAAAATCAGATATTTGGAGACGAAGAAAGGATCAGATGGCTCCCGTGGATCTATCCCTACCTGCTTCTTTTCATTTCTCTACATTTTAAAGTCATCACTTAGCACTATAAAATGGAAAGTCAGTACTTCCGTAGCTCCTGCCTTGAATGATTTTCAATTTGGAGAAAAGGACAGTTTAAGAACTTAGAAAGATGACGCCCCACCATCCAAGGTAAATGTCTGTCAGTTTTCATTCTTTGATTCAACTAATATTTATTAAGTATCTACTATATGTCAGGCACTATTTCAAATAGTAGACACGGTCCCCAAGTACTTAAAATAGAGCAAATGAGAGGGCAATACAGAGGAATGGGGAAGAACTTAGCTAAAAAGGGGTCAATGTCTACTTATATTACAAGCTATATGTAGAAATCTGACCATCTGCTTATAGGTAAACCCAGCAAACAGCTAAGGGATGTGCCTAAATTCAGAGAATTATGCACAGCCAGCAAAAAGGATAAATGAAAGGGTAGAGGGGCTGGTAAACTGTGAGAATGCAAGATGTTCCTGAAACTATTCTGTGGTTGCTTTAGCAGCAAAGTTAAATTCTTAATGAAGAAAACAAAGACAGGGGAAGCAAGACTGTACTGTAGTTAGATGGATACGGGTAAGTCAAAAAGTATATTAGTAAAGGAAAGAACGTGATAGGATTTGTCTACATCATATTTTCCATATTTAACCCTTACATGGTGCTGATTGTGAGGGTGGCATGATCAATGGGCATTCCTCCAGCAATAAAAACACTGCCGGAACAAGCCAGTAGGTGACACCATCTGAATCTGGTGCCTCCTTTCCCCTACAGTATATCCCACTTGAAAGTATAAAGGGGTCTGATTGGAAATTGAGGCCTAGTAAGATACTCCTATGGGGGGGTACTTACAAAAGTTTGTGGGAAAATGGGATCCAAAGATAATATGAATCCTTGCATGAACTTTTTGGAGACCCCTCGTACTATGTAATGTTTATAAGGAAGCTAGGGTCTTTAAATGTAAAAGAACATTATTTTTACGTTTTTTACACCGTAAGAAGATAATCATACGGAACAGCTCCATCTCCAAGACACTGACTCGGTCCTCAAACCAACAGGCCTCCATACAACCATCTCTCATCAGACTCTGATAAGATCCTTCTAAGGGTGGAAGAGATCTTTCTAAAGATGAAGGGAACTACCATGAGCTCAGGTAGTATAAAGAAATGAAAGACAATCAGATTCAGTGGAACTAAGAGAAACAGAAATGCAATCAAGCCACATGAAGCTGGTCAGAGCACAACTCCACCCAGGGAAAAATCCCCCACTGTGGTGGCAGTGGGGACAACTACGTTGATACTATCACATATGCTATGGGTTGATTGAATTGTGTCCCCCAAAGTCCATATATTAGAAGCTTAATTCCCACTGTAACTGTTGAGGGTGGGAAATGCTATTACGGTAATTAAAAGGTGGGGCCTTGAAGAGGTGATTAGATTGTAAGATCATGCTATAATGAATGGATTAAAAATGGTGGTGAGGGGCGTGGTTTGGAGGGCTTTAAAAAGAGAGTGAATGAGGAGTTTAGTTTCTCTCTTCCTCTCTCTGCTCTGCCATTTCACAATGTGATAACCCTAGTTTCTCTCTTCCTCTCTCTGCTCTGCCATTTCACAATGTGATAACCCGCATCACTGTCACCACCACCAAGACCCTCACCAGATGTGTTCCCTGGACTTTGGACTTCCTAGCCTTTGAAACTGTAAGCAATAAATTTTGTTTTCTTTATAAAATACCCAGTTCTATGTATTTTGTTACAAGCAACAGAAATGGACTAATACAATATGATTAAAAGGGGAGGAATACTTTACAAGTTAAAACTTCTCAATCAGTGTTCTCAATACCTAAAAATTGAACTGAAAACATTTATATGGACATTAAAAGAGGGCAGAAGTCAGAGTAGATATATATGAAAAATCATGGTAAAGAGAAACATACCCTGTGGAGCTGTATAAGACACTGGTTTTAATCTGGGCTCTCAGATAGCTCGTATTTGTAAGTGTAAATGTAATATCTTTCCTCTTTCTTTACCCCAAGTCATCTGCTTTGTAGCAAAAAGTAAAGGATTATGAAAATCAGATTGAGCTGACAATTCTAAAACTGGCTAAAATTAATGAAAAAGAAAATTATGAAGACTTAGAGCATTTTTCAAAATAAACTAGAAAGAATTTTTCCCTTCGATAGTCTATTTTACAACTACTAAAGTGCATCACACAGGAACTTCCAAATCCTTAGAAGACTTCAAAGGAATACGACAAAGGTACAGTATTAGATTGGTGAAATTTTTACAGAATCATAAGAACTCCACTTCCTAGTCTTTATAAACTTGATATTGACCAGAAGGCAGTTTTTCACTTAAGATCTTTGAAACCAAGCAGTTAAGTGAAAGATCCCAAGACAACTTTTGGAACGCTTTAATCAGCAGAATGGAAGTATACAAATAAATTGTAAAATAAAATCAACGCATCAGTGAGTAAGATCAAACACAAAAAAACCCCACACCTCACAAGGAAAATATGATCAGATGGAAGAAGGGAAAGGTCTACATCAGAGAGTGGAAGGGGGATGTATACGAGAGAGGAAGGGCCCTGGGACTGAATCATCAAGAGATGCTCAGCTGATGTCTTCCAATTCCAGATTCCCCAGGCCCTAGTTTGAGGTTTGGGGCAAATATGGTATTTGGTCACAAAGAGCAACAGGTAAGACCTGTGATATCTGGAATTGGAAGGAGCTCAGAATCGTGGGGAGACTGTAGACACTAGACTCTATGATAACGAGATGGAGAGAGTACGAGGGCCCTAGGGCTCTAAGGAGGCTCTATGCTCTTTTGTGACAGGCGCCGACCACACCAAAACAAGATACTATAAAGGTTACTCAGTTCACTACTTTAGTGGAAGATCTGGAGTAACTAGAACAAGGGTTCCATGGAAAGGTCCAGCTGGTACAGAGAGAATACATATTCAAGCACTAGGAATAACTATGGTGCCACGCTCAGAGTTGGTAGAAGAAAGAAGCTCTCTCTGGTTGACTTGCAGAAGATGATCTTGCTTCACAGAGAGGAGCAGAGCATTCAGTTCTCTATAAAGTTCTATTAGTCTTGACCTTGTCCCTACAAAGAAAATAATGGAAATATGCATAATGAGTTTAGGAGGACAATCTCTTCTATTTTAAGCAAGACTTATTCAGAGCATTTAGTTACAGTGATAATTCAAAACCCTTGCCTTAGTTTGGAATTATTTCCTATGGTTACTACAGAAAAAGAATTACCATTTAATTACTGTGTATACTTTAAAACAGTCCTGTGCTCTCAGTAAAGAATCCAATTAGAAATGGGGAGTGATTATTAATGGTTATGGTGTTTCTCTGATGAAAATATTCTAAAATGAGACAGTGGTGATGGTTGCACAACTGTGAATATACTAAAAACCACTGAACTGTTTAAAAGGGTAAGTTTCATATATAATTTTATTTAAAATATATAATATATATTTCCTATATATTTATCATTATATACAGTCATGCATCACTTAACAATGGGGATGCATTCTGAGAAATGAATCGTTAGGCCATTTCGTCGTTGTGTGAACATCACAGAGTGTACTTGCACAAACCTAGATGGCATAGCCTACTACACACCTAGGCTATATGGTATAGCCTATTGCTCCTAGGCTACAAACTTCTACAGCATGTTACTGTACTGAATGCTGTAGGCACTTGTAACACGAAGGTAAGTATTAGTGTATCTAAACATATCTAAACATAGAAAAGGAATTTTCAGTTCCATTACAATCTCAGTGACCACCGTTGTATATGCGGTCTGTTGACTAAAATGTTGTTTTGCAGTACATGACTGTATATAATATATATTATGTACAATTAATATATATAATTATATAAAATGTAAAATTTATATATAATTATAAAGCTGTTACTTAAAAACTGTTTAGAGGATTTAACAATTTTAATTGTCAGAGTAAGCATTCTACAATTTTAAAAACTGCTTTCTGCTAAAATCTATTTGTCTGATGATATATTAGAAATCGAATCATACATAATTATCATACAACCTGCTAAACTATTTACTTTTACAATTACCTTTAAAACAATATTTAATTAAAGCTAACTTTTTACAACCCGAATGGACCTTATTTATAAAGATGACTTCTACACCACCCAAATTATTCCACATATCAGAGCAATAGCTTGAATTAACTGGTCACACTGATGCCCAACATGCTACTTATCTTACATACAGACTGCAAATGGAATCGAGAGAAACTGATCTGATCCAGGTATTTCAAGCTGACTTAGCTTAATCTTGGCTGGGAATGGTTAGCGCGCGCGTGCGTGTGTGTGTGTGTGTGTGTGTGTGTGCGCGCGCGTGTGTGCTTTGTACAGAAAAAGGGACTAGAAAAGTTATAATGAGCACTCTAAACTCCCAGATTAGGGTCTCTAATGCCCATTTAAAAGAAACAGGACTCCTTGGGGGAAATGGCTGATTCCAGAACACGGGCACAGAAGTTTAAAATGAACCAAGGATATCATCTTGGGCCAGAAAGCAAGAAAGCTTTCAAAGATTAATGGTTTTTTTGTCAATGCAACACAGAGGATCCAGCTTGAAATAGCTCCCATTGGCCAAAGGTATGCCAATTTAAGAACAAAAAGGATAATGACCACTACATGCAATAATGTGGATGAATCTCACAGAAAGCCAGACACACAAAAAAGTACACACTCTGTTCCTTTTGTTTTCAGTTCAAGAATAGTATCTAAGGTGGTAGAGTCAGAAAAATGGTTGTGTGGTGGAGAGGGGGAGGGAGAAGAGTTTGACTAGAGGGGTCCTTTGGGATGCTGGAAACAGAGATGTAAAAATGCATCAAGCTATAACCTTTAGATTTGTGTACTTTACTACTACATGTTATACTTCAATAAAAATAATTACTGATTGAAATATATCAAAGCAACAAAAATCTATAATATTTATAATCATAAAGAAGACAAAGCCAGGAACTCATTTGCCACCATTTAAGGTGGCTTTTAACCCAACTTCCTACCTTGAAAATTGGTAATTTAAATTTAAAGGGAAAGAGTTAAACACTTGGAGGAACTGTATTTCAAGGGAGCTAAATGGTCTTAGTTGATGAGAAGAGCTTTATAGGGGAATGTCAGATAATAATTGTCAAAGGGATGATTTTTTTTAAACAAAACAAAACATTATTTTACAAACACTAAAAAAATTATTCAGGCCAAAATCATCAATTGGGGTAAAAAACCATTAAATAACTGGCTGATAGGTAAGTATACATTTGTATTGTGCCAAAATAACACCACACAGATTACTTTCTAGTGAAAAAGGGGAAAATAACTATACCATGGAAGGATCTGATAGCCATCACCTAAACTATGGTCAATTTTAACATCACTAATGATGGATCAATCAGATATCATGGGTCTCATAGTATAATTCTGCAACAGTGCTTATGGGGTATTCTAGCAAAAAATGCTCCATTGAGCCTTTAGATAATTCCACTTTATAGGAAAATTATAAGGAATGGGGAACAAACTAAATGAAATTACAAAGAAGAAATCAAACAAATCAAGGTGGTACATTTTACAGGACAATGACACGGTCTCTCAACAACAACAAAATGTTCTAGATCAAAAACAATTTGAGACTAACTAGCTGTGTTATGTGGTCCTGGAATGGATTCTGGTTTGGACCAATCAGGAGAATTTTAATGAGATGAAAGTTTATTGATGTGGAAAGGTGAAGATGGTTAAGTGAAACAAAAGCAGGTTGTAAAATAGTATGATCTCATTTGGGGAAAAGTACATATATAAACAAATAGCGAAATATCTGGAAGAATAAACACAAAGCTATAACAGTGACAGTCTCCGGGTTGGGGGAACACAGTGGTTTCTGTTTCCTTTTTTCACTTATGTTTTCTAACTTTTTACAGGGCATGTATAATGCTTTTATATTCATAAAAGGTTATCTTAAATTAAACAAGCAAACAGAACCCTTACTATTGTTAGTAGAATTGGAGCTTAAGGATAGTTAGAAGGAAAAAAAATGGAAATCAAAGATTGGATTATTTTCCTTATTACCATAAAATACTGAAACTTGATACTCTGTGATAATTTTTTCCTTTATTTTTAATTTTTTTATTGTGATAAACTATACATAACATAAAACTTACCATCTTAACCACTGTTACATAAAGTACATTCATATCGTTGTGCAACCATCACCACCGTCTATCACCAGAAATTTCTCATCTTCCCAAACTTGAAACTGTCCCTGTTAAATGATGACTCCCTATTCCCTCTTCCCCCCAGTCCCTGACAACCCCCCTTCTACTTTCTATGTCTATGAATTTGACTACTCTGGGTATCTCATATATGTGGAATCACACAGTATTTGTCTTTTTGAGTCTGGTTTGTTTCACTTAGCATAATGACTTCAAGGTTCATCCACACTGTAGCAAGTGTCAGAATGCCCTTCCTTTTTAAGGCTGAATAACAGTCTACAGTATAGATATACCATGTTCTGTTTGTCTTGACTGATGACTTCTTTAATTTTTCAGTTTTAACCCACAAAATTTCTCTAAACAGTCTTCTGCTAATTTCTAAGGATGATGACAAATTGCAAACTTAATTTCTTTTTAAATAAAATTCATGACAGGACAAACTCCTACTCACTGTTAATCCCTCTACAGTTCAAGGATTCCTAGAGAATTGCGGGAACTCTTACTTGAACAGCTACTCTGGCTACCCAATTCTTGCTGTTCTCCTAAGGAGAAAAGTCTGTTCCAATCTTTTTTTCTCTAGGGATCACTCTGCTTTTCCAGTGATAAAACCACAAAGAAAATTTGGCTAAAAGTATCAGTCAGTTGTCTGGTCAGTACATTGTGGGGACAAATCAGATACTTTATAATGGAAATCAAGGTGGTACATTACTGTTTAGCCTTGTATTTTGAAGCATCCCTGGGTTCACTGCTGGGATTGCTCCAATCATCAGCTTCAGGTGTGGTCTTATAATGGCGCCATGCAGACTTATTAAAAACTGGAAGTCTCTCAAATGACTCACTTGAAAGGGCCTATTAGAAAAATACAAATATACACCAAAGATCCATACTGTTGTTCACTGCACATGAAATACTCACCCAAATTTTACTATTTAGAATATCAGAAACCTTAACACTTAGTTCCGAAATTATATTAAAATTAAATATTAGTAGTTGCTTATTTAGACTGGCCAGAAAAAATTAAAGCCTTTTTAAAGGAATGAAAACATTCATTCATTCAAAACCAGTACTGAAGTGCACATGACCCAAACAAAAAGCATTTTAATTCAGTTAATACTGCTTTGAGATACTAAATCGTTTCCACTATATATTCTTAGACCAAACACTATTTTTCACCAGGCAATTGCTCTCCTAAAGAAATCAGGAAGAAATAAAGTCTTATCCATACCAGATCTATAAACGTATACCATTAAGTGATATCAAATATCACATCATACAGATGCATTGGCATCTATGATAAACACCCCAAATAACTGGTTAAATTATGGTAACACACAGAGTAACATACTATGCCACTGTTAAAAAGAACGAGCCAGGTCTGTATGAACTGATAGGGAAAGATCTCTAAGATCAGCTAAGTGCTAAAATTTTATTTATGTGGGAAAAAATTAGATTTTTTTTCATATGTTTATAAATGCAGGATCAACTCTAGAAGGACCCATAAGAAATTGGGACCCATGGTTACTGGGTCCTTGGTTATTGGGACCCATGGCTTAGGGCCAGTGGTGGGAGACTAAATTTTCCCTTTGTAGCTTTTAAATTTTTATTATGTGCCTAGATTACTTATTCAAAAGATGGTCTAATGAGGAATTGGTCAATGGACACAAAGAATGATTGCATATTGTAGTGATGAATAAGCTAACTACACTGATCTAACCACGACACATTCTACACAATTACTGAAAATCAATGTTGTACCCTGCATGTACGTACAATAATAAAAAAATAAAAATTCTAGAATTTAGAAATAAAAATCTAATACCACCAATCAGTGAGAAAAACTGTTACATAGAACTCTCTTGTTAAATAAACCTTTTATATAACCATATGATGATTACTGAATTCTAGTAACTTTGGGAAAGCCAGCAAGTTTTAAAAAGCAAGAGACTAAAAGACTTCAGTTTATGAAAATCTGTCTCCTTTTAGATTAGACCTTTCAATGGACATGTGATTTTTCAAAGTCCCAATTTAGAATTATAGTCTTAAAAATTAATATTTTAATTTTTATATCTCCATGCTCCATATTTTTCTATATCAAAGCATAAAATCAAGGATGAGACATAACATGATTTTCACGTGAAACTGAAGTTTGTGCTATTCTCGATTAGTGATTAGAATTTACAGCTTTAAAAAGTAAAGATGCCTTCATACTAAAGAAATAAAATGCAGTACCTTCAAATAAATAACGGCATCAGTACCCACTCCTTCCATGGAATACAGTTTTAGATCTCCTTGAAAATATCTAGCATATAGACGAGAAATTGGCAAACCATAACCGAATCCAGCCTATCAAGAAACAAAAAAATAATACAGTGAGACAGGCATAAATGCTAACACGTTTCATGTGACGATTATTCAATGAAGATTTAAAAATTCTTGATTCAGATTTAAATCAAATAAATTATTGATTCAACCTTCACACCAATGTATAAGCTCATCTATGGCAGACAATCTATTTTCACCCTGCAAAAACACTTCTCATATGTTTGGATAATTATAGAAATATTCCCATTTTTGACTAATGCTGTTTTAGCATTTCAAAGCAAATTTTTAGCACTTTTTTTTTTTAGCAAATCTCAAATCAAGTGTAATTTGATCTGCTGACAAACCGAAACCACATCATTTCAAAGTTCCATTATCAGATTTCCCTCCTCTTTGAAGTGAAAATTAGTACCACAAGAGTTCAAATCTACCAATAACAAGGCTAAAACACTGAAAAGAAAATTTTCTGAGAGGCTACTTCCTAAGGTTCTGAGAATGCTACAATTTTTGATATATTGTAGTTCATATATTTTTAGAGACAAGAAAAAATTCCAGTACCCTCCTATATCCATGTCATGGAACCCTGAACATGTAGTAAAAAGCTTACCTCAGAGCTGCTGATTAAATGATATAGTAAGTGTAGAGTCTTGGCACAGTGCCTAACACAGAGTAAAATGAAATAAACGGAAGCTGGTATTATGGCTACTAAGAGCAGCAATTTTACCAAGTTACATGGATTTCTGCTGTTTTCCAACATCTCTCCTGGATAATGTCCTCAGAATAGAGCCTAACGGAAAGGGCAAGGGTGACAGAAAGTACCCTTTCACTTAAGGGTTTTAGGACTGGCTGAATATGGCCAGTAGTGAAGATGAGATATCCATAGTGATTGAGGTAACCACAGCAAAGAAACCAGTGTACTCCAGGAACAGGCCAGAGGACATGTGCCTCCTGCATTCAAGCAAAGCCCAGAGCCTACCTTCAGGTCTAACCAGGAACAGCCAAGAACATGGAGGCCAAGAGTAGAGTGTGCAGAGGCAGGGAAGCCGAGTCCCATGCAAGGCAGAGGAAGGGCCTCTACCCCAGATTTGGTGAGGTTCAGGAAAGGATTCCCAGAGCATCAAAGGATCAATAGGAGTTAGCTGGGTGGACACTCCCAAAAAAGAAATGCATATGTCACGGCACAGCAGTGCAAAACTGTAAAGGAAATGATGTTTTGTAGTAGTACATATCCATGCGTCCACTTTAAAACTGAGGACAGTTTTACTAACTGGGAGAGACACTAGTGGAAGCCTTTCTTCAAAAGAAGAGGCCACATGAACACTACAAGGACCACAGACACAGCCAGCACCAGCTCTGCCATTAATTAACTCAATGACCTTGGGCAAGGTACTAACCTCATTTCCTCATCTACACAATGGGAGGATGGATACATAATTTTTAAAGATCTCTTACTTCAATCCCCCAGTTTCATTACAAAAAAACCCAAAACTATGACATAACAACTATCCTCAAGATGCTATTTTAAGACCTGGAATGGACAATCCATATTCCTTTTAAATGACTGGGGAAAGCACTGGATTTGTTTGCAGTGCCTTTTTTTCCTTTTGATGTTTGTTTTTAAGTAGGTACCAGAGGCTGGTCAAGGCAATGCCTTTCAAAATTGATCTTTCATGAATTTTCTTGAATCCCATATAAATGACTTCCTCTCTATTTTCAACATGCTGAGTTAACAAACTGTCTTGAATAAACGATGCAAAGTGTTTGATTTTATTCACACAAATAAAATATAATCTTATGTGCTTATCAGTCAGGTAGAACTTTAAAATGAAACTTAATTTATACCCTGAACCATTTCACAGACTGATAGATACGTTGCTATGTTTAATGACAAAGGGTTCAATTGTTGTTTGTCAATTAGAAACACTCAGCAGGGGCAGAAAGTGTGGCCCTACCAGGATCTAAATGCTACCATGGCAACCAGAGGCGTTTCTCACTGCCTTAACAGGGCTGAAGGTTATTTCCAGAGTGAGACAGAAAGGGCTCTCGAAATGCATACACAACCTATACGTTTCATGCTTATGTTATTTAATAGGAAAATTTAATGCTTTCATAATTTAACATTTTAATTATATAAACAAATCTGATGGTGGAAATTCAAAGGTTCTGGGTTATTTGGGCCTCTATGGTGTGTGCCACTGAAGTGCCAGGACCAAGCAGCAGCTGCACACCCTGCGCTGGACCTCTGCTCACCCACTGGAAGCTTCCACCCCCTCCAAGGCTAGCGCTAGGTGGTAAACGGTGCTCTGGCAGCAGTCTTACCACAGTGCAATGCTTTTTCTCTGTATTTGGGAGTGAGGCACTCAGCTCAGAGTGTTTCTTAGACACAAATTAGAGAAGAATCGAAGTCCAAAGGATTCACAAAGAAAGTAGCTGAGGCAAAAAAATTCCCCCTCCTCCAAACCATACAGGAAACATTCTAACTCAGTGCGGCTAGTGCAACAATCCGGGGAGACAGGGGCTCTCCCCGAGTCCCTCTCTGCGTTCGCGATCTTTTCTTCTGCAGCAGTTTAAGACAATTACCAGAGGGGCAGCTCTCGTAGGCTCCAGGCTAGGTCTAGGTGCAGTTGAATACATGTAGTTAAAAAGACGATCTATTTTTCGAAGTGGGACACCACCACCTAGATCACTTATCTGCAGTGTAGAAAATGTTAAAAATAAAAAAAAAGAAGTCAGTCTATGCTTAGTAGGAAGCAACAAGTTCATTAAATGAAATGCATACCAGATCACTCTAAAACATGTAGAGGCTGTGAACCCCCAACGACATAGGGTTCCTTTCTGACAAGTGTAAAACAAAGGAGGCGGAGTAGTGCGGTGGGATCCCACAGGCTGGGTTTTGAGGTCTTGTTCGGCTTCCTGAATAATGGGTTCTAGTGAAGTTTAAATGAGGCAGCTTAAGCCAAGGATCTAGCACAATACTCACAGATAAGACACCCAGTAAATGGCAGTTTTTTTCCCTTTCCTCTGATTTCTCAATATCTAGATACCATTAAATCAACTGATAATTAAAGTATACATGCGAACAAAGCAGTTACCTTAATGGATAAGTCTTCTTTCCCCAAAGTCACAAGGGTTTTCACAGCCGGGTAACCTTTTTTATCTTCATATAGTTCTACTGTTGCTCTCATTGAGTTCTAAAATAAAGACCTTTTTTAAACCATACTGCTGCCTCACAAACCATCATTTTAAAAACAAGCACAATATTACTTATACCCAACAATTCTTTTGTGGGGCAAATATTAGTTGGACTTATATGGCATTTTTCCCCTTTACAAAGCTTAGCTAAATGTGTTCAGATCAAGGAAAAAAATTCCTGACACTTTATTTTGTTTTTCAACTGACTTTAGCTCCTTCCAATGCGCTAAATATTTATTTTTCTTTCTTTTTTTATTTTGTCTTTTTTTGTCTTTTTCCGTGTCCGGCAACGGATCGCAACCCTCAGTGTTGCCCCCACACTGGACCAGGGACCGGCAACGGGATCGCAACCCTCGGTGTTGCTCCCGCGCCTCGCTCAGCCAGTGAGCGGGAACCGGTCTGTATGTGGGATCCGAACCCTCGGGGGGGAGCGCCGCCGCGCTTCCCAAGCGGCGCACTATCCAGTGCGCCACCGGGCCGGCCCCTTTATTTTTCTTTCTTTCCTTCCCCTCCCCCCCACTTTTTTTTGCTTTAGGGTATTTAAATTATTCAACTCAACCCAGAGGAATGTTTTTATCACAGGTAATGAGGCTGCAGAGGCTGATTTGTGCACCTAAATCCTATTTATCGGTCTGCATTTATAGAGCACCTTTCCTCTAAAGAAGGCAGAAAAACTGAAAGGATTCCTGCTTCCCACAAAAATTAATCATTTTGCTGAAAAAAAGTAGAAGAAATATCAGTTAAAAAGAAATTCTAAAAAAGCCACAGCTGTTGAGGAGAAAGTTCACAACTGAATGCCCATCTCAACCTTAAAGTGTTACCTCAGTATATTCTAATTTTTAGAAGCAAATCAGCATAAGTGATTTTTCAGGTGCTCAATTTAGTGTTTTACACATTGGAAGAAATGAAATTTTAGCTCGAATGCTTTGTGCTGGTAATGCTGCTGCTGTAAATGCCATTAGCTACTAGTTAACAAAACCAACAGCTTAAGCCATAGAGAGTCTAAATAGGGTTTTTTTTGTTTGTTTGTTTGTTTGTTTGTCCTTTTTGGTCCATCTGTCCACATCTTTCCCTTCTGCCTCTGTCAGATCTTCTAAATTGCCTCAAATATGTAAAAGGGTCACAGGATCTCTTGGGATTGGAACAACTACTAATACACCAACACGGTTAATGTTCAGAAGCATAAACGTGTATAAACATGCTTTTAGTTTGATCTGGCTACCACCAATAAAGGCTTTGCCAGGTTTGGAAACTAAAAAGCATCCCTAATCTTATAACTAAAGAAAAAAGCAGTGTGGATTTTACATAAAATCACTAAAGTACAATTAGTTTCAAAATCAATACATACTGATATTCATGAAAACTATACTGTACACAGCAATTTTTCATCTCACAGTCTACAAATTATAAAACCTAAAGGATATAAGAAATAGAATTTTAAAAATGGTTATGCAAAACCTTTTTCTTATGCTAATCTAATGAATCCATTATGCTCTGAATCAAAGTAATTTAAAATGAAGACTTCTTTCCATGTTTTTAAATTCCACTTACCTTGAACAACTCAAATAGCATGTGAAACAGATGTGATGGCACATAAACTACCTGAATAGGTTTGTCTGGTGCTTTGGCTGAAAACAGAGACAAAACCGTCAATGAATAAGGACCAAAACTAGAAGAAAGTCAAGAATGATGTTTGCATTCTATTTTCCAAATGCATACAAAAGAACTCTATAAAAGGCTGATTTAGGCTTCCACCTCTAAAGTCAGAGCTGAGCAAACATATGCTTTGGAACCAAACAAACCTAGTGTGAAACCCAGTTCCTTCACTTTCTGGCTATGTGACGAATCACTCAATCTCTCTGAAACTTAGTTCAGCAAAATGGTAATATTACCTCCTATGTCATACTGTTCTGAGCACTGCATAAGGCCATACAAATATCACTCGGTGTTTTTCAAATCGGGGGACACCCACCCCTTACCACTGACCCTAGTGATCAGTTGGGGGAATGTAAGTCCACAGGAGAAAGGGCTGGTGAATTGGACTAAACAGCAGAGTAAAACTTTGTGAACTTGTTACAAACAAGGCATATTATAGAGTAGAATGTAAGGTTCATATAACTTTTTCTACTAGCTGCTAGCAGTTAAACCCCTGAAGACCTACAGTCTTTTCTCCCTGCATGAGGGATCTTCTGAGGAAAATCTGAGAAACACCGAGTCCCATGGCAAGCAGTAAGAACAGCGTTAGATAGAGAGTAGATTCTCAAAAATTCAGTCCTTCCTCCTCCTCATGACCTGAAATCACTTGAGACTGAAACTACATGAACTTTCTCAAGTAGATCACACATATACTCACCCATGTTATCATTTCAACCCACTACCTCTAATAAAGTAATTAACAATAATACAGAGTTAACACTGATTTGACTCTTAGCAGTTTATGAAAAGCTTTCACATAAATTATCAAATTGAATCCTCATGACAATACTTTGTGGCTCATAGGGTAGGTGGCATTGTTTACAGGTACGGAAAGGGGCTTTGGAGAGGCCATGTGACTTGCCTGCAGTAATGGAAGAGGCGCTGAAACTGGACGCCTGAACCAAGAGATTTTGATTCAAAATCCTGACCCCTTTGAAGATCACTTTTTTTTTTTTGTGCAACTGGCCAGTACAGGGATGGAACCCTGGACCTTGGTGTTAGCAGCACCACACTCTAACCACTGAGTAACTGGCCACCCCTTGATCAGTTATTTTAAAAATTATTTGGTAATATATACAAATGGATTAAGTTTTTTAAAAAAGAAGAGAAGTAAAAGTCCCAACACCCTTTCCCCTCACACCCTTCAGTGTGCACCCACAGGCGTTTATTACTTCTGCTGTAGTCTTTTGGTTGGTTTTATTTACATTCTGTCCTGTGACCCTAATTAACTATTCTGTGAGTTGCCTATAGGTTCTTTTAAGAAAGTTGAAAATCAATAGTGTTGGTAACATTGTAACTAAGTAAATATTGATCACTGCAGAGCAGCCACAACAGTGTACCCGGACACTGCCTTCCCTACTAGCCCAATGACATAATTCATGTGTCACTTAGAGGAAAATGTTCTCAGCTTTAAGGTGAAATGGATTCTCTTTATACTCCTCCACCTGATCAACATCATGCTACCCTTTTTAGGTTGCTTCCTATTCAGTCCGTGTCTTTCTTACACAGTTTTGAATTTTTCCTGGAGTTTCTAACTACCTCTCCTTTTGAGAAACCGGACAAGAAACGTGCTTTCCTTACCATATCACTAAGATCTTCCAGCTTCTTAGTCTATTGCATGGTATCCATTCCATTCTTCAAGATTTTTCAAATTATAATTGATTGATTTCCAAACATGCCACATAGCCATCATCCTAAAATTGTTTTTGACTGATTTTCCTATTTCTAATATCCATATTATACACAACATTGAGTCAATCAGGTAACTACCTCAGAAAGGTGTACATGGGAGATATATTTCTCAATCCTTACACCTCTGATTCACTTGACTGAAGGTTTGGCTACCTTCCCTCCCTTCCTTTCCTCCCTCCCCCTTCCCTTCCCTTTTCCTTCCTTCCTTCTTAGCACCCAGTTATAAGTGAGACATTTGGTATTTCTCTTTCCTTGTCTGGCTTATTTCACTTAACATAATTTTCTCCAGACTCATCCATATTGCTACAAATGGCAGAATTTCATTCTTTTTTATGGCTGACTAATATTCCATTATGTATAAATACCACATTTTCCTCATCCAGTCATCTGTCGAAGGACACTTAGGTTGGCTCCATATTTTGGCTACTGTAAGAGCTGCAGCCAACTGATCTATGACAAAGGCAACAAGAACATACATTGGGGAAAAGACTGCATCTTTAATAAATGGTGCTGGGAAAAATTGGACATCCATATGAAGAAGAATGAAACTGGACCTGTACCTGTTACCATATACTAAAATCAATTCAAAATGGATTAAAGACCTGAATATAAGACCCAAAACCATAAAACTACTAAAGGAAAACATAGGGGAAACACTCCTGGAAGTAGGACTGGGCAAAGACTTTATGATAAGATCCCAAAAGCACAAGCAACAAAAGAAAAAATAAACAAATGGGATTATATCAAACCAAAAAGCCTCTGTACAGCAAAGGAAACAATCAACAGAGCAGGAAGACAACCTACAGAATGGGAGGAACTATTTGCAAACTATACATCTGATAAGGATTTAATATCCAGAATATACAAAGAATTCAAACAACTATACAGTAAAAAACCCAAATAATCCAATTAAAAAATAGGCAAAGGAGATGAACATTTTTCAAAGGAAGTCATACAAATGGCCAACAGGTACATGAAAAAATGCTCAACATCACTAGTCATCAGAGAAGTGCAAATCAAAACCACACTGAGATATCATCTCACCCCAATTAGACTCGCCATTATTAAAAAGACTGTGAAGAACAAATGCTGGCAAGGATGTGCAGAAAGAGGAACTCTTCTACAGCGCTGGTGGGAATGTAAATTAGCATAGCCATTATGGAAAACAGTATGGAGGTTTCTCAAACAACGACAGATAGAACTACCATATGATCCATCAATCCCACTATTGGGGGATTTCCAAAAGAATGGAAATCATCATGTCGAAGGGAATCTGCTTAGTCTATCTTACCAAAAGGCATGATTAGTTATATAAACAGTCTTCTGAATTCAATCTTCTCACTCCAAATCTCAAGGAAATAAAAATATCTCTTATAAGTGTTGCTTTTTCCCCCATCCTCAGTTCAAAAAAATTTCTCTAGGAGTCATCTAAAGCCTTGCTCAGTTACTTGTACTTTTCTTTGGGAACATTATAGCATAGATTTCTTTCCCTCCTTTCAAAAACATGTCAAATGTTTCTGTCCATAACTCTTCCCTAATCCTGGGTCTAGTGGCTGTTAAGTAGTGGACACTTACTAGATGTTTGTTGTCTTTCTAAAATAACACACAAATGGAATATAAATTTTCCATCTAAGGATACGTTTTAAAAAGTCAATGGGAAAAAAATGGTCCAAGTTTTTCATGCTCAAGACTCAAGAAGTAATAAAGTCTCTATTTTGCATAGTCATTGCTCCAAATACTATTAGTTGAAACAGCATTTAATAAATACCAATAGAACTCTACATAGACATAAGGCATTTTATTTTCAGATAGTTCTCCTACAAGAATGAGGGGAAAAAATGGAGGCTAAGCAGATAAAAATGCATTTTTAAAAAAGGTAGCTGGGCACTTAAAGGTGGTTAATCAATTCCCAAAGTCAATGGAAAAGGCTATTAGAAACAGCACATACGATGAGTCAAAGTTGCAATGGGATCAAGTCTTGACTCTGGCCTTTGATAGCTATAATAATAGGTATTTAACCCAATGGGCCTCAGTGTCTCACTGGGTTAATAGAAGAATTAATTGAGATGATGGTGATAAATGGGTTTACAGAGCCTGCCAGATAGTAAGCAGTCAATAAATGCTGGCTATTATCATCACTGAAAATTAATTTCTACAGTGTTCATAGAGCTACCAGTAATGGATTTTTGGTTGTTGCATGGAACCACTTGACTAAAAGTATCCATAAAAATATCCAATATGAGTAACGTAGAGGTCAAAGATCCCAGGATAGACACATACCTTTTCTATGAATCCTCTTATAACAAAATACACATCATATGAATTGAAGTTTTTATGTTTCCCACCAAACCCATAGCTACGAATCATCCCCTTGCCAGGAGAGACTAATGTAGAAACAGTGAAGAAAGTGGTTACCCTGTCTTATCTTTCCCGAATCAACCCAGACTTCCCGTAGCCACCCCTTACTAAACAGCCAGTATGTGCCTGGTGCAATATCAGAGGCACTAGAGACATTCTCCTCACACTGCCCTGCAAGACATGTTCACAGACAAGGAAGCTCAGTGCTACAGAGGCGAAGGGACGTGACTAAGGCCCACGACTTGGAAGTGTCAGAATCAGGACTCCCAGCACCTGGCTAGCTACAGAGCTCACTTCTTTCCCCTAAGCCACGCTGCCCTATCACACAGATGAGAAAGAGGTAAGGTAAAAATGTGTATTTGTTTATTGTTTTGGCAATGGAATGAGAATGGCAAAGGAATAAGGAACAAGGATGATGAAACTGCTTCTTGAAGTTGGAGAAACCGGTCATGGATTGCCACAGATGGCCTGTCAGAAATATTTGAAACCTGATCTAAGAGAGTAAAAAGTTCTGTTCTTTTTACTGCGCCTATTACATGTGCTACAGAAAAAACAATGAAGGAAATTTACTATAGCTTGCCCCCAATATTCAGAGTTCTAGTGATGACTGGTGAATATGTTCTCGATAATCCTAGTTACTACTCTCTTAGGGCTCCACACTGGGAAAGGACAAAAAAAAAACAAAACCCCAAAAACCCAAAAATTCAGAAACAGAAGGTAATATGTCCAACTGACAGAACTTAAATTCTTAGGTCGCAACACACTGTTCTTTTGGGTTAGTGGAGCCTCACTCACTCTGAAGGCCAGAGCAGCAAGTGGTAACACCCTGAGTATTGTTAACGGCACCCATTATGTAATGAAAGCACCCTGGAAGGGGATGCTATGCTGCTTTACATGATCTCCAAAAGTGAATCTGTATGAATCTGGATCTGACCCCTCCCTAGAAGATGGAGTGAGCTGTCATACTATGGGAAGCACACATGCATTCTCATTATAAAGCAAAAGGATCTACTTAAGGTGTTCAGGAGCAATCTCCAACCTGCATCTTTAACATGGAACTTGTTAAGGCAAAAGCGCATTCCTTAATCATGCTTGCAAAGAGCTTTGGCATTCAAGAAATCATAAACATAAATCTTCACTGCATTACTCAAAGCAACAGAAAACTAGAAGCTACCTGGAACCACCAGCAATCATTTATCTTAGTGATAGGAATAGGGGCTTCAAAATGTGATATACAAGAGGCTTATGTCATTCATGAGATAGTGCCAAAAATAGCTGTAGGGCTCCTCTCAGGGTGGGTGGCCAGAGACCTAGTGTGACAGCCTCGCTGGAAAAGAATGTGGTAGCACCTGGGAATCAGCAAGCACAGGCCCGCTGCCCGGGCAAGGCTGCCACTCATGTGGAAGAGCAGTTTGTCACTACCCACGAGTTTAAGTTCCATTGTTTGATAGATATAAATCTGGACAAGTAGGTCAGGTCCCGCCTAGCCAGTAGGAAGGAAGAGAAAAGATTAAGATGCTTCTAATCAGGGAGACTCAAGCCAGGTCCGCTTGGTTGTGGTCGTGTATTTATTCAAAACAGAGTCCAGTTCTCAGAGAAACCAGGAGACTTTGAAAGCAGCCCTGACTTCATACCTTCTAGTAGAATGTAGAGGAAACTGTCCTTCAACAGCAGCCTCAAGTCTTCACATTTTGATCTCATTATAAGAGATAATACGTTTTGGATATATTTTTTAGAGGGAATTTGGTTTATCTCTAATTGTAAATGCCCACACCCTAAGAGTATCATTCCACGTCTAGGAATCTAAGCTACAAAAATACTTCCACGCATTCACAAATTTTCCCATCCTCCAAATACAACCCCCCTCACACACACACACCCATATCCACACTCCTTCATTGATCATTATATGGAATATAGGAAAAATGGAAATCCTAACTGTACACTCATAGGGAAATAGTCAAACACATTATGGTAATCTACGGCATGGATAATGTCTAAATGACATTAATGTATGCAAACATCTTCAAGGTGAAGTGAAAAACAAGTTATAGAGCAAGTATAGTTTTGATCCCATTTATGTAAAAAACAAAGCTCTGTATGAGACTGAGAGTAGTGGGGTCTTTCTCTTTTTACATTTTTGTATGAGAAGTCTTCAAAGAGTTCACAGAAAGCTTCTTATAATCTTTTAATTCCATTTTTTCCATGAACTTTTTGTATTTTTACCATGAGTATGTCTCTTTCATAATTTATAAATAAAAAATAAAAGTGACATGTAATAATTATAGAATCATATGACTAACACGAAAATCAGCTGTAATCCCACTACCCACAGAGCTATTGCTTGCATTTTGGTAGTATAAATCCCTCAAAATATTTTCCAATGGAGTTGCACTATTACAAACTTCTATAGCCTGGGGTTTTTTTGGTTTTTTTTTAAACCCTCAATTTTCTCCATACATTATTCTTTTAAAGCATTATTTTGAATGTCTGCACAGTATTCTATCTTATGGGTATAGCACAATTTATTTAAATAATCCTCCACTGTGGAAAACTTGGGTTGTTTTCTAACTTTTCTCTATAAGAAAACTACTGTGATCATCACTCTTGTACATAAATCTGTGCATCTCTCTCTTTTCTTGTAATAAATTTTCTGAAGTTTAATTTACTGGACCAAAAAATATGACCATTATTAATTTAATTTACTGTGCCAAACAGAAAGAACATTGTTAGCATTTTTGAAAGAGGCTATATCAATTTTAAACTTATAAAAGAAATGTATGTATTGGTGAGAGAGTATTTTTCTGGGTACAAATTCAAAACATTAAAATGTTTTAATCATTACCATATTCCAAAGACAAAAATGGCATTTCTCTGTGTCTGTCTACCCTTCTTTGATTAGTAAAGTTAAATATTTTTCCATATTTTTATTGACTGCTTTTATTTGTTATCTTGAGAATGCCTATTTATACCATTGTGCATTTTCTATCTTGATTATTCCTGTTCCAAGAACTTTTGGGGTCTAAAACATTACACATTCCTGTACAAAAACTCCTTACAATAATATACCAGATTGACCAAAGGTATAGAAAAAGTTTTTAAAAAGATATAAAAGGTGAAAACACAGCAAAATTTTAGGATCTCACTGAAGTAATGGCTGAAGTATAATCAGTTTTTTAGTTGGCTTGTCTGTGTTAACGGTTAAAATTATTTTTCTTTTACCATTAAATTCTTCAATTTCCAGCTCTGGAGCTACCAGGTAATACTGTTCACACAGCATCTTGGCTGTTTCATATGCATCTGCAAAGAAAGAAAAAAGTTTAGCTGCTGCACTAATAACGTAAGGACAGGCATGTATATATATATACAATAAACAAAGACAAACTGTCCAAACTGATATATTTAGAACTAATCAACTGCACCTTTAAAAAAAAAAAAAAGCCTTTTTTGGCTTTAATAGAATTATGACTGAAAAAAATTTCTCTTTCCTTAAAATTTTAATGACCATAACAATGTCAAAATACTAGACTAATGACAATATAGCTAGCTCTGCACCAAGCATATATTTGTTTAACTTTTAAATATTCCTAAAAGGTATTTTTCATGAAAATCTAAGAACTCAACACCACGCTTCTGAACACCATGCAATCTGACTAAATTATAGCAAAAGGCCAACAGCCTTATGATTTGCCAGTTATTTGTAAATGAAACATCAATAACTAATTGCTGAATGAATGAGTTTCCATGCGTTACACAATTTAAGTTATTGGAGACACCACCATTGCTTTAAAATGTCCTTTAAGTTAGTTACAGGTGAAAGCTTGGGGCTGATATTTATCAAAAGTCAGAGGAGCAACAGTTCATTTTTGAGAAGGAAAAAACCCATATAGTTACCCTATGAAGATCAGGGTCATTACAGAAATAGCTGCAAGAGGGAATTTAGGAGATTGAAAAGATGGAGCACAAATTCAGAAAGCAAAAGTATATTATAATATATAGCACATGTGCCTTTTCTCTTGAACTGTAAAGAATCTGAGGTCAGGGTTTGTGTCTTCTTACACTTGTTTTGCAACTTGCATAGAACTTCATTTAGTGCCTGTGCAGATGGTCAAAAATATTCCTTGGTTTGATAAATTTTAAACCTTTTGATAATCTACTTTTAAAAAAAAACCAACTTAATTGAGATATAATTCACATACCATACAATTCACCCATTTAAAGTATACATACAATTCAGTGTTTTTTAGTACAGTCATGTGCCAGATAACGATGTTTCAGTCAATGACTAACCACACATACGACAGTGACTACACCACATAGCCTAGGTGTGTAGCAGGCTATACCATCTTGCTTTGTGACATTCTATAATGCTCATGATAAAATTACCTAATGATGCAATCGCCTAATGATGCATTTCTCTGAATGTATCCCAGTCGTTAAGTGGCACATGACTATATTTGCAGAGTTCTGTGTTCATCACCACCAATTAAGTTCACAACATTTTCATCACTGCAGAAAGAAGCCCTGTACTCATTAGGCAGTCATTCCCTTCCACTCAGCCCAGCAACCACAGATCTACTTTGTTTCTATTTGTTATTCTGGACACTTCATGTAAGTGGAGTCATATAATATGTGGTCTTTTTTGTCTGGCTTCTTTCACTTAGCATAATGTTCTCAAGGGCCATTTAGGTTGTAACATGTATCAGTACTTCATTCCTTTTAATTGCTGAGTAATATTCCATCGTACAAATATACCATATTTTCTTTATCCATTCATGAGTTGATAAACATTTGTGTTGTTTCCACTTTGGGGCCATTATGAGTAACGCTGCTATGAACATTGATGTTCAAGTTTTTGCATGAACATATGTGTTCACTTTTCTTGAGTATATACCTAGGAGTGGAAAACTGCTGGATCATATAGTAACTCTACATTTAAACATTTGAGGAACTGCCAATCTGTTTGCCAAAGCAAGATTTTTTTTTAAGTTTCATGTTTACAATTTCTAAAGATCAGATATTCAAATTATATTAAAATGCTTCATGGGTGCATTTGCAATGTTCTCAACTGGGTATCAGCTCTTTGGAGACAGGCTCATACTTCTTTTATATTCCCAATATGGTGCATAGATAGATACTTGTTTAAGTTCAAAAGGTGAGAGAAAAAGGGAAGGAAGGAAAGGGAAAAAGGAGGAAAAATAAGCCCTACAGAACTTAAATATGTTCAAATTTGACATTATTAACCTAAAATAACACAAAGATAGGATTAGGGTATGCTCAGACTACAAGTTTTGGTTCATTTACTTCATATTGCTACCAGATTAAAATTTTATATATTATTTGACCTCAGAGTAAAAATTCTCATTTTATCAAACTTTTAGAATTAAGCCACTATAGAGAACCAAAGGTAAAGACATTAGTATAACTCTGACAAGATGAAATAATGAGGGACAGCAAAAGGAAATGGCAGTAAGAGGAGAAAAAAAAATTTAAAAGAATTGATCAGTGTGAAAATAGACATTAGAGTAGAATTGAATTTCAACCCTGAAAAAAGGAAGTTAAAAGTTAGAATAATATTAAAATTGCAAGTTTTTTCCTAGGGTATAATAATCCTCATTAAATATCTCTAAAGTACTTTTGTAAAAAGAAGGGAAATCAAGACTCACTCCTTTTGCTTTGGCTGCACCACCAAACAACGCTACATCTCCACCTAGTGACGTGACCGCACAAAGCCGAAATTCCAAGGCCACAAAATACTGAAATCTAAAAACTATGCTTCGTTATCTATATACAAAGCTAATACATCTCCACAAAAGAGCTCCTCAAGGTATAAATAAGATGTCTAAATATTGCTCTTGCATTCACTATAAAACAGGAAAAGAACCTAAACCCACTAACTATTCCTCATGGTATCAGCTCCCCTCGTAGCATGATTATTATAGCATTGTTAAGAAAAAGTGCTATACAAATGTATGTGTGGAAGATTGTGGACTCCAGATAGAAGCAGCCAACTTGAAACTCAAAGACCCAATATAGTTTCTAAAACCATATGTGAATAAGAATTTTTTAAGCACCACCACAAATTATAGTATCAATGCTATAATTAAGAATTACATGATGATCCTTTAAAAACTCAAAACATCACAATGTGGACCCATATACATCAACCAGCCAAAATCATTTTGGGGCATTAATGGTAAAATCTACATTGATGTGCATCTTTATAAATTCCCATAGCACATCATAATGCCTTAGACACAATATACACTTAGTAAAAAGCATTTGTTAAAAGTAACCATCTTCTAGCCTGTGATAAAGTTCTCAACATGCCATCAATTGCATGACGGAAGGTGTTCTTTTTGGTTAGACTGGGAACTAGAGGCTTAGAGTGCTTCCCAAACCTGGCTGTGTGTAGAATTCATTACCAAGTTTTTTTTTTTAAAAAAGTACAGATTATGAAATGAACACCTGGAGATTCTGAGGCAGCAGCTCTGTGTTGAGGCCTGGGAATCCACATTTTTAAAACTTAGAACCTAATTCTGAAGAGAAGCTATATTTGGGGACCACTTTCCTGGAAAGTCAAAGCTGGTTCACACTAATTCTGTCTCTCCCAGTGGGGTACGGGGTGTATGATAGTACATATGAGGGTACTTCAAAAAGTTCGTGGAAAAGTAGAATTGAAAGATAATATGAATCTTTCCATGAACTTTTTTCCCAGAAACTTTCTGGGAAAGTTTCTTTCTAAACCCTCGTATACACTTCTGTTTAAGTAAAATAATTTAACATAAAAATGAAAAAGCTTAAAAAAGTCACCACCATAACAACCAAAATTCAACTACTGGCTTGTAATTTTCCTTTACATCTAGAGTAAAAAGTAAGTTCTACTTACAAGAAGCTTTCTAATAAAACTTTTTTTCAAAAAAGATAATTACCAAATTACTTTTATTTGCAATATATTTGAGTCAGTATTTACCTTTAATCTTTAAAGGGAAATATTAGAAAAATATTATTATTGCCACTGAACATAAGTGATACTTACTGTTTCATGAATATGTTTTCAAAGGTAATAAGGTGTTGATCATAAAGTAATTAACAAAACTGTGGGTGTGGCACATACATATTTCCCCAGGCTAAAATACCCTATACAAAAACTGTAAACACACAGACTAAAAATAAAAAAAGCTAAGCCATAAAGAGTAGGATGAAGATTCACACAACTATCTGAAAAGATACAACCTAGCCATGAATCGGTTTTAAGAAACAGCACACAGAAAATTTTAATAGATCATGGAAGTTATTTTATTAGTTTTATGAGAAGATTTCCCTATTCAAAATATACCATATGGGGCCGGCCCGTGGCTCACTCAGGAGAGTGTGGTGCTGATAACACCAAGGCCACGGGTTCGGATCCTATATAGGGATGGCTGGTTTGCTCACTGGCTGAGCGTGGTGCTGACAACACCAAGCCAAGGGTTAAGATCCCCTTACCGGTCATCTTTAAAAAAAAAAAAAAAAATCACCATACAATTTTGCTATCAAATATTAGCTTCCATCCTAAATACATGCAATCATTTGTTTACAAATATCTGAAAGAGGCTGGACAAGGATGAAATTGAGTGAGTGTTGAAAAAATAAAAATGAAGGTGCCAAGGCCCCTGACATTGAGTCTAACAGAATATAGAAAAACATAAAACTCAAGTTAAGAAGCCATTGCTATAACAAGATAGGGCTGGCCAGTTAGCTCAGCTGGTTAGAGCACAGCCTTGTAACACTAAGGTCGCAGGTTCAGATCCCTGAACTGGCCCACTACCAAAAAGAAAAAAAAAGAGAGACAGACAAGATAAACATAAATGATCACAAAGCATTACTAAGTCATGGAAATGCTGCTCTTCCTTTTTTTTAATTTTTAATAAAAACAATCCCACAGCATTTATTGTCATCTGGTAATAACATAAGGATAATTAAAACAATATGAAAAAGTGTTTTAGAACTATACTCCCTACAAAGGACACCTAAAAAAACAAACTATTGCTGTCTCGACAATTTCTCACTTTGATCATTTCCAGTTGGAGACACTTTGTAGCAGAGTAATAGTATCTCCTTTTAGCACTATCCAACCCAGTTGTTTTCTTGACTTTGTTTTAGAATGAATCTCCTCTGTGTCATCTGATATGAGGTTCATACACTCATCAAAACCAATGGTACAATCCTCTATCAACGTATTCACTTGCTCATAGAGCCACGCCTGAATCTGGGATATATTTTGCAAGTATCTGAAGATGAGATTGATGGTGTACACC